TGCAATTGTACTTATTACTCCTGCATTGCCTGCTTCAAACAGCAGCCAAAACCATTTCTATCAAAAGACAATCCTGACTTTAACAGTTCACTTAAAACAACAACTCCGTTACACTCTTCATCCTTTTCTGCTTAGTAAACACCAACCCGAAGGAGCAGCTCTACAGCTCCCAGATGAGACAGGTTCTTCATAGACACAAACTCTCTTCAGGGAAGCTTAAAAGTGCCAAGCATCTCCTCGAAGGCAAACCGCACCAGCTCATCCAGACACCCAAGGAGATGAATGATACCACAGCCTTCTAGTTCCAGAATTTGCTGCTCTCGTTTCACAAGCAGCCTGACTTCTGAGTCACCACCTCTCCGTAAATCTCTGCGGAGCAGGTGTGCCCTTGCATCAGCTCCTATGAAGCTGGTAGTAGCTCTGAGGACTAAGCACGCAGCTAGGAGCCAAGCCACACCGCTCCTTTATACTCTGAATTCAGCCATCTTCAACACAGAGCATCGAGAAGCACCCGATGCCCTCCGACTCCTGCTTACAGGCAAAACTAAGCACCACCTGCTCCAGCCCTGGGGTCGGCTGCAGTGATGATGCAGGACATGAATGGGATCACTTCTGTCGAGCCCCTGGGGACATTATTTTGCACGGAGTCTGGGGGGATGGATGACAGACTGAAAACCACCCCAGGACTCGCACCCTGCCAGGTCGTGTTACGCTTTAGCTGCAGCGAGGGGACGCAGAAAATAGCACAGCGCCACTCCTTGGCTCTTAATTATGGTCTTGTGACACTGTAGTTAATGGTCTGTCATGGGCTCCATTAGAAACCTTGATGTTTGCAGGAGGCGGACCAAGCTGCGCTCACAGTAGCCAGCTACCAAGTGAGAGCAGCTCTGGCCTGGAAATAAGGCTCCTGCTCTGGCGTTACAGACCCTGCTTCCTCTGGCTGCAGCCCGGTCCTGGCGTTAACCCCGGCAGCTCGGCCCTTGGAGCAGGAGCAGGGCGCCGAGGCAGAGCTCAGCTTGGGAAGGGTCCAGCCGCGCTGCGGGACTTGTGCATCCAGGGATTGATTACATCAGACACCGACCTCTCTGACGTCTCTCTGGCCAAATTCTCCTGCAGATCTTCACGATTTTAAGCAACAACTGTGGCCTTGCCGCTACCAGCCACGCAACCCCTGCTAAACCATACTATGCTTCCAGTTCATGGAAAGAATAAAAAAAAAAAAAAAAAAAAAAAAAAAAA